GCAGTCTTATATAAAAAAAAAAAAAATAACGCCGGCGAAATTAAATAAATTGTGTCCTCCCCCCTGTACCCCTTACTTCTAGGTTGAGCGATATTGTTGTCTACGAACTTTCGAATGTGTGCGTTTTACACGTGTGTGTTGTGTGTTTTGCTGTTTAAGCCCCCCTATTTCTTATACGTCATCGAATCGACAAAAGGCAAAAAACATCCGTAAAATTTTATTATCTCTCGCTCATATTCACCGCGTGAACAGTTGTATAAAAGTTGTTTGATTTAGTAAAATCATAAACATGCCGCCGAAAACAAGTGGAAAAGCAGCCAAGAAATCGGGCAAGGCCCAAAAGAACATCTCTAAGTCTGATAAGAAAAAGAAGAAGCACAAGAGGAAGGAGAGCTATGCCATCTACATTTACAAAGTGCTCAAACAAGTGCATCCCGACACTGGTATATCCAGCAAGGCCATGTCTATCATGAACTCTTTCGTCAACGACATCTTCGAGCGTATTGCGGCTGAGGCCTCTCGTCTCGCTCACTACAACAAGCGATCAACCATCACATCGAGGGAGGTGCAGACATCCGTGAGACTGCTACTGCCCGGTGAATTAGCCAAGCACGCAGTCAGTGAAGGCACAAAGGCCGTCACTAAATACACCAGCTCGAAGTGAGCTTGACTGAAGCCTTCTGATGTCGTTATCGGTTGTATGACCCAATGACAACCTCAAATATATATTTGACTACATGTTTATTATGTTACTTTATGTACATAATTTACATTTCAAAGGCCCTTTTCAGGGCCACAAAATAAATCAAACTTTACTACTGTTTCTAAGTTATGTGTACGGAACTACGTCTACACTCTACATCGACACACTTACTACCTATATACTAAACACATTTAAACTATTAAATATACTGTACATACATATAACATCTATGACCTCAAACACTACTAAAGAGGGCGAATAAAAATGATATCTTTCGTTAATGACGATTGTCTTAATGTAATGACACTTACACTAAATAAATAAATCTATGCATCTACATTTCATCGGCAACCGCTTACGCGGAAAAATTTAACAATAAACATCAATCTGAGCTTTTGCATTTCGATATGTAGTTACAAGTTTGCTTATTAAATGTAATTAATCTTAGTATATATGTAGACAAACACCATAGACACAAAAATTATGATATAGTATATCTCGATTACGTTCGTAGTGCAACAAAGTCAAAATGGTATAGTATAATAAAAAAAAAAAAAAATGAAAAAAAAAACAAGGAGATGTCGA